GGGCTGAACAGTAGGATTTTTCCTTAAAAACCGAAACCCTCTAGATGTTCAGGGAGCAAGAACTTTCTGTTAAAAAAAACACCAAAATCAAAATAAATGTAATAATATTTTGATTTTGGATAACTCATAATGTCAATACAAAAAAAAAAAAGTACATGGAATAGCGAAATTCAACGATCACCTTATTAAACCCATGCCAACGAGCAAACAATCAACACCTATTTCAGGTTTACAAATCCCAAAGTTCGAAAGTTTCTTCAAATCGCGAACAAAATTTTCACCATTTTAAGTTTGTGCCAATTAAACCCCAAGTCCTTTGTCAATCGATGTACATTTCACAGTCGATAAATGCATTGTTACAGTTTTTAGGAAAGAAAATTTTACAAACTGAGCATTTACGTCTCTGTATCTTAGTAGTGTACTTTTTTTCAAAATATTTTTTTTTTGTGTACTTTTTTATAATTATGTCTAATTTTGTGTACCAGCTTTCACTGGACCCTAAAAATACACTAACCCATAAAACTTTTATTTACCTGTTATACCCTTGAACAAATATATAAAGTCATTTGTATAATTTTAAAGTTATTTAATTGTAATTGCAATGGTATACTACCACATCAAAAAAGATTATTGGCTCAACTTCTATAACTCCCTCCTCATCTTCAGGGCAGTTGTACAGTCACAATGTCTTCTCCTCTTCCTCAGGGTAGCTCTAGAGATAGAAAGTCACCTTTGTGGTTTTATATTATAAGAAAGATTGTACAGTAATAGTGACTTTTTGTTGCATAAAATCCCAGCTTCAGAACAAAGCATTTAAATAATATAATTACATATGTAAATGTAGTTACAGTTGAAGTATTTTACAACTTTCCCTTTAAGGGGCATTTATTGTGTTGATAAAGTCATTATTGGCCTTTTGGTTATCTTCTGTCTTAAAAGTGGAGGTGCCCTTTGAGTCTCTCTCTCAATAGGCATCTCTAATTATTTATTATTCCAGATCCTATATATTCCCTGAATAACAATTCTAATTGCATTTAATATTTCACATTTTTAATTAGCTTGTTATCTATCTCATCGTCTGCTTGCATGTAATGTGCTACAAGTATGCTCTTCACCTGCTCAAGAGTGTACTTGGTCACAATTATAGTAGGAAATAAAATTAGATGAGTAGGTATGGTTTTAAACTTAGATTTGGTTAGAGAGTGCAACTGGAGTCAGTGGCGGATCTACAGTGGGGGCAGCTGCCCCCATTGGAATTTTAAAAATTTTAAAATTTATTAAAGATTTGCCCCCACTGAATTTTTTTTTAAAAGATTTATAGGTATTTATGATATTTTGACAAATATATGGGTCACTTATAAATGTCAAAAAAATTCCTTTAAAAAGCTAAATGCCTCCATTTTGTGTTAGATTAAATTATTTTAATTTGGTGTTTTGAATAATTTTATTGTGATTGATTAATTAATTCTTATACTAAAGGTTAGCTTAATAGAATAGTCATAATTTATATTTGTTTTGATTGGTTGTTAATATTCAACTATATATGATTGAACTAAAATTTTTTGTTAGGTGATTAGGTCTTATAGATAAACTAGCGATACCCCGTGACTGAAGTCACTGTATACTAAGTTATGACACTATGCATGTATTGGAGTGTATGTGTACAACTGAAGTGTATGTGTATAGTGAGTGTGTATTGAAGTATGTATAGTTATGTGTTGTGGAGTATTTGTGTTAGGTTTGTGAAATTTGGAAGGGGGGGGGGAGTGTGTGTGAAATTTGGAGGAAAAATATACCCCCCATAAGTTCAAACACCTAGTTATCTTATTATATAGATTTATAGTGAATTTTTTTTTGTTGGCTCTTTTTGTATAGCACTCATATATATAAGTTGTTACTTTAATTGACGTTCTATTAATGAAAGGATACTTTTGTAAACATTAATAATTTGGAAAAATTTTAACCACATCACCTCTAGTTTATCATATCTTCAAAGACACCCTCTCTATTTTTTAAATCTTCAGTGACACCCCTGTCATATTAAAAATATTAACTAGAATGTAATTTTACTAAATTGCCCATAATTTATTTGATGATAAACTTCATCCACACTCCTTCTAGATAAACATATCTTCAATGAGACTCCCTCTATTTTCTAATTTTTTTTACATATTAAAATTTGAGCCAATTAAAATTCGATTCAAGCTAATTAAAATTTATTTATCTACATATTAAAATTTGAGCCAATTAAAAATTACATTTTTTAAAAAATTTGGGCTAATTAAAATTTTATTTTAGCCAATTAAAAATTATTTTCAATCAATTCAAATCAAATTACTTGAGGTTTATGTAGGGGCATTTTTGATATTTTAAATAAATATTTTTTGTTAGAAATGGTAGTTTAATGGTAAGGGGTGTTAATGATGTTTAAATTAAATTAGAAGGGGTGTCAGTGATGTCTTTGATAGTAGAGAGGATATCTTTGAAGATATAGTAAATTAGAAGGGGTGTAACTAAAATTTTTCCTAATAATTTTAATATTCATATGATTTAGGTTGCCTCCACTGGGCAAAATTTCTAACTCCGCCCCTGACTGGAGTTTTGTCTATCAAGTTGTGCTAGCAATAGTATTATGACATGTAATTGTAGCGCGTGTTTGGAATGTAAAATATTAGTTTTAATGATAGATATATTATGTTATCTCTTGGGTATGCTAGCTTACTATCAATTGATGATAATTTACCTTTCATGCGAAATTAATAATATTAGATTTTGAAATCTAAATAACTATTACATCAATTAGAGATTTGGATAAGGTAATTTCAAAGTCTGATAGTCTACGGATTCTAGGTACAGTGGAGGAGTCCGTAGATTAAAGTGGATGGAATTGTGTTGGAATGACGGATAGGCTCTATGCTTGCAAGATGTTGATTCAAGCAACAATTTCTGTTGAAAAATAAGGTGGTGGTGTATAAAGGTACTTCGAGGGAAAAGACAGTCTAGACGTTAAACAAGTAAAAGAGAGTTTTTGATGGAGTCGAAGCGAGTGAAGCAACAATGTCGCAAAAGATTGCATGTCACTCACCCTAACAATAAGAAGGAGATAGATTGATATACATTGGTATGTCATTTTTAAGTCCAAATTGCATTACTCTATTAGAGCAACTCTAAAGGGAGTTGCCATCTTTTGGGTGCCAAATCACTAATTTGTAACTTTGAACAGTGTCTTGGCATCCCTGAATTATAAATCTGCTCCAATGATAGGTGCCAGAAATAGAGTGTCATTTTAATGTTTTAATATTTTTTATTTCATTCAATATAAATATGTGTACAAACCTTGAATGCCTGAATTATAAACAAGTGTACAAATCTTGAATAGTGCTTTGCAACTTCTTCCTTTCTCTCTCCAGAGTTTGGAAAATTGTCACCCCAAGAGCATTGTTGCCATTTTTCAACCTTTATGAGCAGTTCCAAACGGAGTTGTCATTTTGGAGTATCAAATCACTCATTTGCAATCTTGAACAATGTTTTGGTATCCCTAAATTATAAATCTGCTCTAAAAACAGGTGCCAAAATGGGGTGTCATTTTAATATTTTAGCTTACTGCCAAAATATTTTAATATATTTTAACGCGTATTCCCCTTGGAGTTGCTCTTAAAAAATATAATTAAACTCATTTGTAACCTCTCTCTTTCCCTCTCCAGAGCTACCAAAATTGTCACCCCAAGAGCGTTGATGTCATTTTTCAACCCTTGATACCACGTTGAAGTGAAAAATTTTAAATTAATGGTGACATTTTGGTAATTATGAGATTGTCACCCCTGATGCCACTCTCTCTTGGAGTTGCTCCAATACCACCCCCGTTGAAGTGGAAATTTGACATAATTTACAGGCAGTTATGAGTTGCCACCCCTAATGCCACTCCCCTTCAAGTTGCTCTTATTCAGGTAAATCGAAGAGAATTAGGTGGGAAGAGATTCAACCTGGAGCTTTGCTATAAGTTGACTTAGGGTTTTCAAGAATTTGCAAGCATTACTTTTCATTTTCAAGGGGCTAATTACGTTACAAAGCATATATATATTCTTGGCCCTCAAGCAGGATACCAGCAAACATAACAATCTTAAGAGCATTGGTTTTCTGGTGAGGATTGCTTCAAAGATATAGGATTATACGCTAGGGATGCAGTTTCAGATATGATAGAATTGCCGAATAAAATTACACCAGAAATAAAAGGCAATACTCCCTCTCTCTCTGAACTGCAACAGGGTCGTAGAAGCAGAGTCAATGACTCTCACAGTGTGAAGGCCAGGCCACATAGTCTGTGCAACCCGGATCAGCAGCTCGTAGCAGCTAGAGTGGTGGAAGTCATCCTCCGAGTTCTCACATCACCTGAGTCTGGACAGGTTGCAAACAAGGATGATGGATGGCCCTAGGGGGTGAATTATTGTAATCCAGTCCCACACAGCTTGGTGAGGCGTTTGTGAAGACATGCATGCGGGTCTGTGACTCGCTCAAAAACATGCAGGTTTACATCTCACCTCTGGTTCAACCCCTGAACCACCCTGTGTGGGTTCACCTGCAGGCTTATTAACATAAACTACACATCAAGCATGCCACTAGTCCAAGCATATAACTTTTAATAGTGGAGCTAACATTTAACAGTGAGAGCTGAAATTTCAAAGAACAGCCAGCCCTTGCAGTCCTAAATGATAAAACTCAGAAAATAATAAACCAAATTGAGAAAATAGTCAATAACATAACACTAGCTGAAGCCCTAGAACAATCATGCACCATGCACTTCCCGACAAGCTTCAATGTTTTATAAGAGAAAAACAGAGACATTCCTGTATGTTCAGTACTACAGAAGCTTCCAGCAATCAAAAGTGGCTCAGTTAAAATGCACTCACAACATAAATCAGACTTGTTTGAAAGCTTTAAAGAGGAAAATATACAGTGATATACATCAAAATGCTGCAAGTATGTTAAGCTCTGTTCTGTTTTCAGCTGTCCCTTATCAAGTTTGTAGGCTCAGTCAACACATACTTTGGTAGTTCATATTTTGCACCTGCAATAAGGTTTTCAAAGGAACTTAGACAGAACTGAGCACAAAAAAAACAGCTTAAGAGGTATTAACAACTGCTTCCCTTAATCAAAGACATTAAGGAAGACAACCAGGGATAAAAAATTGTTAGCATGCAGAACCTTTCAGCAGAAAGTAATTCTGCAGCCGATAAATTCTTACCAAGGGTTCTTATTCGGGGTTGGATTCAATCAGATAAAAGGGCAGAAGATGGTTTACCCCTCTCATCATAGCATATCGTCAAATCAGCACTTTGGACGATAACCCCAGCACTGTCCACAATTGCTTGAGCAAGGGTTAGATCAGCTTCAGCAGCAGCACGAAGTGCATCCCAAATTTCTAAGGCAAGGCAAATATCATTTACATTCAGATTACTGTATACTAGAGGATGTGACACATGTAATGCATGTGAAACCAGAAAAAAGGGACATATTAGGTACGCTATAATTGCAGGACAAATAATGAACAATGATCAGACATGGAGAATAAAATATTACCACCTGTCTATGTGCCATGTGAGCTGACATGACATGAATTTATAACAAACCTAACAGCCTCAAAATGGAGGAATTGCATTTCAAGCCCAATTTTGTGCACCGCTGGAAAGAGTCCTACTTGGAAGGAGACATATGTTCAGCAACTACTAACTGCTATTTTTCACACGTGATGGTGGAGAGATGCATGGGCCCTGGGATGTAATGCTTTGGTTTTTCTGTGGGTTCAGCATATATGAATTCAAATTATTTTCCAATTTTATCCTCATATATCCAACCTCAAACTCTAACTACAATCAAGGCTTAAGATGTCCCATTTGCTGGAGAAATCAATCATTTGCCTTATATACTCCAGGACAACATATCCTTTTAGTTGTGCAGGGTATTTAGGAGCAACTAGCAGTTTAAGTATAACACAAACATGTTTTAACTAACTTCAACTATCAGCAGTTTTGAGTATCAAGTTCATCAGTATCTGATCAAGTAAATGAACTAGTGAAGCTCTCACAAAGTTACAGCACTTAAAACTTAAAAGTAAGAGAGGGAAAACAGCAAAAGTAACAATGTATAACGAACACACATTCTTTCTATACTTTGTCTAGGAAAAGATTAGGGGCAACACTTGACTTGACCAGTGGTAGTGGTAGTCAGAGAATAGGCCAGTCGCCAATAAATGTTAAGAGTCCCAAGTGCCAACTTACATATCAAAAAAACAAAAATACAAAAAGGGACCAAATTAGCCTACAACTCTGACTTCCATTGTAGAGTTTAGAGTTTCTGCATGACAAAGTTGTGGTAATCCCTACCTTTCCTGCCACCATAGTGAGGAGCAGTGTCCCAGAACTCATCCCGCAGTTGCGTAAGCTGACTTTTAGTTATTGGCTGTGGATGCTTCCAAGGTTTTGGCTTTCGAATCTTTTTAACAGCCCCTGTAATAAGAAAGAAGTCCCCATTACAGTAGTGTACAGATAGCAGCATATATATGAAGAGTAGGACTTCTATATGAACTGGATTGTGTAAAATTTCAACAGGACTGACGAACACAGGGAGCCTGGACAGTATACAGCATGTAGAGGAAAAGAAATGTCTTTCATACTGTCCTTCCTTGCCCCTTATGGCTTTGCAATCCTGAGTTATCACTGGTTGAGTTCTTCACAAAGAATAAAAATGGAGGCAGAGAGAAAAAGAGAGACTTAAAAAAATCAGGGCTAAGAACATTGACATAGAAGGAAACTGAGAAAAAATGATCCTAGATTTTTCATCTCACAATTTTAATTTTCCACTGGAAATTTTCTTGACACGACTTCAAACAATTAGCAAAATTAAGCATATGCTGAAAAGAAATGAGTATTCAAAGAATACAATGGTTGTGTATTGGGGCTTATGAGTAGGGGAGAGCGATTAATTTTGTCAAGTGAACAATGAATGAATTTGGCTTGATAAAATTGTTCATTTAACTACAATCAAACTCTTAAGATGATAAGTAAAACATTTGATAATGAGATATACAAAAGTCAATTCGAAACTTCATGATTGTATAGACTTCTCGTATGCTTGGTTGACCAGATGGTGAATTATTTCCTTTAGTTAATGCTGAAATGGCAACAATTAGATCACATAGAAGTACCTTAAAGAACCCTCCCAAAAAGAGCCCACAGTTATTTAAGAGTTTCTCCGTCAAAATGGTAGGAAAGCACAAAATATCCTAACCCAAAAATAAGAGATACTAAAAATATAGATGGCATTACAAAGTGGTGTAAAATCTACCGCTCGCCAGGCTGAAAAAAAATAGCCAAAAAAACATTTAGAACTAGGCTTGACCAAATCATAGATCTATAATCCTATCCGCTACACTGAATTAGGGCCTAATCCTGCATTTCACATGAAAATATATTTTGATCCCAAGTTATTTTCCAAATTCAATTAACCATCTGAAAAAAATTGTCTCTAGTTTTATATGAATTGACAAGAATTACGAAATTTAGAACAGGCCATCTTCTCTCAAATTAATTGAATTAACATTTTTTATTTATGGGTTAATTCAACGAAATTCATGGCTCCAAATTCCCCATTAGATTTTAACAGACACTTTTACATTTTTTCCGGCAATCAATTTTAACCGGAATTTCGTTTATTAGACAGAATTCAAATCCAGCCAGCTAATCCTGACTGGGGCCACCAAATACTGAAACAATAATCTACAGTAACAAACCAAGGAATATAATTCGAAAAGAAGCCAGTATGATATACATACACGTACGTATAAAGCAATTCCACGTCTATGAATTGAAGCAAACCTCTCAATCTCCCAAACAACATCCAATCCAATACAGATAAATAGCTTGACACACATACGCACACCTATATATACAAATACACACACACACACACACACATATATATATACTCAGAGAGAGAGAGAGAGAGAGAGAGCAACAGTGTTGAAATTTGCGAAGAATTTAAAGAATCAAAACAGATTTTTGTAAGGTAAAGAAGAGCAAAATCAAACTCAACAACTTCAGCAAATTAAAGAGCTGAGATTATCAATTGAAAAGAGGAAAGAGAAGATAGTGGTACTTAGTGGACGTTACCGTCTTCTTTACTCCGCGACGATCCAGCACAACCCATTCTGCTACTCTTTACACACAAACCAAAGGCACACAAAAATAAGCTCAGAAATTCATAGCTCAAGCCTTACTAATATTCTGTGGACTCAGGTGCTTCGGTTCACTAAATTTCCTGTCGAATTCTCCGGAAAATTGCATGAAAGTTCGATGGATAAACTAATAGGGAAGTCAAATTAGATTTGGTTTGCCCCAAGTTCGTGAAGAGAGAGAGAGAGAGTAGAGCAGTGGGTTGGCTGTCATGTTTCATTCTCGTGAGCAGTTGTGGAGAATTTTATCGGGTACGGCTCACCCTACGGTTTATCTGGCACTATCCAATCATTTTTAGCCATGTCTGCATAGACATAAATGGGGCTTCACAAAGTGTAACATCGGCTTCGGTGGGGGAGGTTGTTTCATTTAATTTAGGACTTTTTGCACTTTTATCCCCTCAAAGATTATATTTTTTATATTATACCCTTAATTAATTAAAAGTATTGTAATGCAGTTTTTCTATTAGTTTTTATTATTTTTTCCGTTAAAAGTCAATTCAATGACACTGATAGACAAAATAACGAAAAGAAAAAGTTATATTATAATACGTTTCATATATTTAGGGTGTAATATAAAATTTTTAATTTTTAAGAATATAAAATAAAATTTTAAAATCTTTTAGAATATAAAACGAAGCTTTCCCACTAATTTAAATGTAATCTCTAGAAGGTGTAAGTTTGAGTTCTTTATTAATCACTACACATAATCTGTTAGTTATTGCTACCATATTCATAATTTAATATTACAATTACGAGACAGGAAGATGAGATCATCATCCTCCCTTATAAAAATTAATCTCAACCGTTATTGTAATTTATTAAATGCGTAATTCAAATTGTTAATTGTAATATCTTTGTATGTATGAAACAAACAAATTCGAAAGGAGGAGGTTTGAGAAACATTTTCGCCATATTTGCAATTTTTTTAGAATGTATAATTTTTTATTTAAAACATAAGGCTTCCTCCGATGAAACACTATTTATGTGTAATTTGTAACCACTTCTCAACTCCCCTAAAAACCAACCTCTATTTTTAAAAATATGTAAATAGTATTTTTTTTGTTTATAAAGTATGTAATTTTTTTGTTAGTCTCCTCGTTGTATCAATTTTATCTAATTCGTGTCATTTTGATTTTTAATCAGACAATTTGTCAATTTTTTTTGACGGATTAACCATTTTACATTTTTTTAGCCAGTATCACTCGTCCAATTCGGATCATTCTATTAAAAACCTAACAGTTTGTCTATTTTGGGATATAATTATTTTATCTAACTTCTCAAATAACAAATAAATAAATAGACGAATTACAAATATGTACATCACACCAGTGATCCACTGGTATTATATGAAAAATACTATTTAGACTTAATTTAGAGATCTAATAATGTACAATTATTGAATTGATTGTGAGCTCTATCCAATATTAGAATTTATAATTAATTCAATGATTGTATTAAAATGACATCATTAAATAAGGTCAAAACTGGAATAGCTGTATTAAAATAGCAAAGCAATGGGCGGCGGAAAATAATAAGGACTAATGTCTGACTAGACATGTCACGGTGGTTCGGTCCAAGAGACGGCCCATCTAGACCTAACAGTTCCAGGCCAACAAACAAGGCCTAGGCCAGATCATTTAGCTCATGGACTTGGCTTGTTTTAACTTAACATTAGGTCCATGAATATTTGCCCCATTTTTTTGACCTTACATTAATATAAATAATCATTTAAACTTCAAAATTTTATGTTTTTCTCTACTATTTTCCATGTGTTACAATGTCGTTTTGAAGAAACATTGGACCTGCGGTCCATCCGATATGGTAGAGTTGCTTTGCGCGGCACTCCAAGTGCTAGATTCAAACCCCCGCCCCACCTCATTCCCCTCTGGCCCTCCCCTTGCCCCTGTAGTGACCATTGCTATCAAAAAAAAAGAAAGATCAAGCCTGAAAAACAAAATAGAAATAGAAATTGAAAAATATAGGCCCACGACAAAGAAAATGGTTAAGGACAACTATTGGGCTAGATAAAGTGGCTTGAAGGTGAAGATGGGCCTCAACAAAACAGCCTTTAGGCTACATTATCTATGACCGGCCCATCTCGACCGGGCCACCTATACTGCACAGGGAAGGGAACAAAAATGTTTCCTCAATCTTAAACCTGAAAATTTTACACAATAACTGCGAAATTGAGTCGAATTTGGTATTTTTAGGTTCAGTTTGGATGTGTTTGAAGGGTAAACGGGTCAAATCATTAAAATTGTTGAATAAATTTTATAGACGAATCAAGTACAAATTAAATAAATTTTAACACAATACAACTTTGATAGTTTGAAATCAAAACTCAACACAATTGTTGTAATTTTTACTCATTTTCACGTATCATCATATATCAACAAAATGAAAAAAGAAGAAAAAATAAAATATTATCTTGCATATTTGTTATTTTCTTCTTCTTCATTTTTTTTTTGGAGGAAGATTATGACATTGAAATTTATAATCTTTTAAGCTTAAATTATAATTTTCTGAAATAAAGATTATAACTAGAAAACACATAATTTATCATAGAAGCTACAACTTCTGAAAAAATAATTATAATAATTTTTAAAGGTCAATTTATATCATTTAAATGTGAAGTTAGACCATTTTTTGATTCGTGCATGTCATCCTTGCATAGTGAATGTGTTAATATTTTCTGTATTGTTCCAATAAAAGGTAGGTCAAGTGATAAAATACTAAGTTTAAATCTTGACAAATGCTTGAAACTAAGTTATTAGAGATTTATCTTTAATAAATATACTAGTCTCAATGTAAATGATCTGTTTTTAATTAGATAAAAAGAAAATTAATCGAGATATGCACAAACTCACTGTAATAGTTAAACTTAAAAAAAATAAGAGAAGTTAGAATTGATGAGAAAAAAGAAAAAAAATGGGTAGAATTATCCTTTTCTTTTTCAAGAACTCATATATTTTGTAATCGTTGATGTGAACATGTCAATATCCTACGAGTAATGTTAGATGGATTTAAAAATTAAATTTAATAATCTCAACAATTAACTAAGTAATGAATCTCAATAAATACTGAAATTCACAATAACATTAATAATTGAGATTATAAAGTGTAATTTTTAAATTTATTTTTTAAGTAAAATTTCTCATATCCAACATTTCCCAGAGCGAGTACCAAATTTGATCAATCATATTCGATGACTTGAGCGAGCACTCATCCACGTTGCTTCTTGAGTAACCGAGAATAAGGCACCGGCAGGACGGTGCAGTGGTGGAGAAAAGGTTGCGCAATTTTGACCGACTCCAACCCCAACCTGACTTGAGTCTCTCAGATATAGAAGTCTCATATTCTCACTTTCGATCTCCGCAACTGGAACTCTCTACGATTCTCAGATCTCCCGATTCGAACGGTTTGTTCTTCGACAATATCAACATATCTCATGTATTTTTTCCCAAATTAAACCCTTTTTTATTGCTATGCAATTGATTTTGTCGATCCATAACTTGTTATCTTTTTGTTCTGCTTTGTTTGATTAGAAAATGAATTAAACATAACAATAAATTACTGTTCGGATCTCATTTATTGTTATATTTCGTATCCAGATCCGCTAAAGAATCAAGAAGCTTGTGTGAATCTCCTTTCTTTTTTTTTTTATTGTCGTTGTATCTGTGGACTGGTGATTTCGTTTTCATAAATCGGTTTTTGGAATGATTGAAGATGTTGTGGCATCTGGATTTTATTAGAGTCCTGAACGTAGTTAGTCAGTATGTGGAATTCTCTGGGTTTTTTTCTTCATAATTTGCTTTTATATCATTTTCTCTATGATGGATTGGACATTGAAATTCCGTAGTTTTGCGTTTACATTTGATGATGATATATGTTACAGTCTAGTGATTTATTCATGCCGTTGTTAAATTCGGCATCATTGAAGAGAGATATCATTGGCAATTTTCTTTTGTACAGAATTTCCATCGTAAGACGTTTCCTCTGGGGAAAGAAATTTATTCTGTACATTATTTAGAATGCTAGGGCTTTTGATATACATAGGGATTCAATGTCCTTTGGCCGTTACTCTAATGCGTCGTAGTTTCTTTGAAATGCAAATTTTAAGGGTGATTTCTGGCTAGTAGTTGCTCTCATGCAAGCGTGTGCTTTTTGACTCATAACCCATTTTCACGATACTCCACATTTTTTGATTGGTAAATATTTACTTTATTAGTTTTTTTTTCGGTTTCCACTGAATGTTAGCTATTCTTCCACTGAATGTTCAATCAACCTTATTTAGGGGATGCACTCCCAGTTTAATATACCTTTTGCTTCAAGTCAGTATGAAATTGAACTTTCGATAACATGTTTTTGTCCCTAGGTGGTCTTAATACCACACAAAACGAATTTTTCATGTACATATTGTTAGATTTAGTTTGTGTTGAAAAGCTGATAGCATGTATTTTTTTTTCTTGAATTAATGATGCAGGTTGGGTTGTTTAGTTTGTTCAAAGTAAGATGGGAGGTGGATTTAGAGTGCTTCATCTTGTTCGACCATTTCTTGCCTTTCTGCCTGAAGTTCAGAATGCTGACAGGAAAATTCCATTTAGAGAAAAGGTCATATACACTGTGATATCTCTCTTTATATTCCTGGTATGCAGTCAGCTCCCTTTGTATGGCATACACTCAACAACAGGTGCAGATCCCTTCTATTGGATGCGTGTTATTCTTGCCTCGAATCGTGGAACTGTCATGGAGCTCGGGATCACCCCTATTGTGACATCTGGACTGGTGGTGCAACTTTTAGTCGGGTCAAAGATTATTGAAGTGGATAACAACGTGCGCGAGGATCGTGCCCTCATGTAAGTACCATATGAGGCTAATCTCTGTTTAGGATGCCTTTCTAATAAAATATATTCAAGCCTTGGGACTTTTGGCTCCTTGTCACTTGTTTCTAGGTTTTTATGTACCTCTAGTTGCCTGATAAAAAAAATGTACTTCTAGTTCTGCTAATCTGTCCACTTTGCCTTCTACTGCATAATTGCACATGATTTTAGTGAGGACTATTAGCTTGCAACGCTCCTGGCCTGCTGCCTATTGGTGTCTGATTTACAAGTTACCCTGTCATAGATCTACATAATTAAACGGTAAAGAGGGTAAAGCTCTGGTATTGCATATAATCTACAGTTTTTAAAGTTCTCACCCGAATGGGTTACTTTGAAATGAAACAATTAGCCACCTTTATTCATTTTTTATCTTCATATTAAAATCTCCATTTTGTCTAGAAGAAATATGCAAGACACTGCCATGTCCATGTATATTATGTGTGGTCATGCCTTTTTGTTGTTTGAATTCATTGAGGTTTTTTGGAACAAAGATGTTTTGTTTTCTTTTGATTTCAACATGTTTGTTCAGCTTGTTATGTGTATATGTCTGATGATTATTCTTTGTGAACTAGGAATGGTGCACAAAAGTTATTGGGCATCCTNAAATGTTTTGTTTTCTTTTGATTTCAACATGTTTGTTCAGCTTGTTATGTGTATATTTCTGATGATTATTCTTTGTGAACTAGGAATGGTGCACAAAAGTTATTGGGCATCCTCATAGCTGTTGGTGAGGCCGTCGCGTATGTTCTCTCAGGAATGTATGGTAGTGTCGGGCAACTTGGAGTTGGAAATGCAATTCTTATAATCGTGCAGCTCTGTTTTGCTGGTATAATAGTAATATGCTTGGATGAACTTCTCCAGAAAGGATATGGTCTAGGCTCTGGAATTTCCCTTTTCATAGCAACCAACATCTGGTAAGCTGCTGTATGTTTTCTGGATCATCACTATGATTATTTGTTTTTCACTATTTACTAGTTTTGCGTTTGCTTTGGCAGTGAAACCATCATTTGGAAAGCATTTAGTCCAACCACAATCAACAGCGGGCGTGGTGCTGAGTTTGAAGGTGCTGTGATTGCTTTGTTCCATCTGCTTATAACTCGAACTGACAAGGTTCGTGCACTACGTGAGGCATTCTACCGGCAGAATCTTCCGAATGTGACTAACTTACTTGCTACTGTCTTGATCTTCCTTATTGTTATCTACTTCCAAGGGTTCCGTGTGGTCTTGCCTGTAAGGTCGAAAAATGCCCGCGGGCAGCAGGGTTCATATCCAATCAAGCTGTTCTACACCTCCAATATGCCCATTATTCTACAGTCTGCACTTGTTTCAAATCTTTACTTTATTTCCCAGGTACTATACCTCTATACAATCCGACTATTGTGAATTAAGTCAACGTGATTTTCTCTCACTTGATATTGGTAGAGTCTAATGTTATCTTTATTGGGCAGTTGCTGCATAGGAAGTACAGTGGAAATTTTCTTGTGAACCTTTTGGGCAAGTGGAAGGAATCTGAATATTCTGGTCAGTCCGTCCCTGTTGGTGGTCTTGCATATTATATAACTGCACCGTCAAGGTGATTCTCTCTCTCTCTCTCTCTCTCTCTCTATGTATGACTCTGTGCTTTACGCCTTCCACTGCATCTGTTGTTGGAAGTAATCTGGTTTGCTACATTTGCTCTACTGTCATTCAACTAATGTCAATTGTTTATTCTGCAGCTTGGCAGATATGGCAGCCAATCCTTTCCATGCACTCTTTTATCTTGTGTTTATGCTGTCAGCATGTGCTCTGTTCTCAAAAACTTGGATTGAAGTTTCGGGATCTTCAGCTAGAGACGTGGCCAAGCAGCTCAAGGTATGAATCAAATTCAATCTTATGTTTCCTTATTTGAGATTTTAACTGGTATCCCGATATGCACCTGAGTATAATTTTTCAAAGTTAAAACCAAAGGGAAAAAACACCCTCTTTAGTCACCCTAATTTCTGCGATAGTTCAAGGACTTGCTTCAAGAAAGCATCGAGCTTCCCCTGAAGCATTTATCTTCTACTTGGTTAACTGAAGAATGGAGTTTAAAACTTTTTTGCTCACGGTTTATATAGGTTCATAGTCTCATCAATACAATTTGATTAGTAAACAGGTTATACATTGTCATGTGAGGCAAGCCTTGAAACCTGAACATGATTTGTTTATTGTACCTGTTGTTGTGAACGCGGGATGCCAGCAGTCATGGTGATGACACAATTTGAACCCACAGCTGTTAATTCTGTGTTGGGTTCAAGTCTTATTCATGAGTCATGTTTCCTAAATGATTGGCTTATGTATTGCACAGACCATTTAAATTCATTCACGAATTGGGCTGGTCTCTTATAGATGAATAGTGTCCCCGTAGGTAGACCATTTAAACCAGTTTGTATGTGGGGGATGGGTATATGTTATACAACCTTGTGGAATTAAGGATAAGATAAGATTGAGCTTTTGAGCATCCCCACTGACTGAAGTCAATTGAACTTGGATTGGATCAACATAATGTCCCGAGTTGGTGTTTTACCAGTCATAAGAGTAAGAAAACAATGACAATTTCCTTTAGGTCTCCTCTTTTTTTTCTTGCTATTATGATCTTGTTCCAAAACAATCCCAGATTGGANCCGAAGTCAATTGAACTTGGATTGGATCAACATAATGTCCCGAGTTGGTGTTTTACCAGTCATTCTGTTGTGATTAAGAAGACATAAGAGTAAGAAAACAATGACAATTTCCTTTAGTTCTCCTCTTTTTTTTCTTGCTATTATGATCTTGTTCCAAAACAATCCCAGATTGGACGTTAATGTCAATGCTGGAATTCTCTCGTAATATAAGATGGTGTGTTGAAATGGAGTTGTGTGAATGAGCAACAAATGAAAATCATTAGTTGAACAAATTCAGGAATTATGCCATCTTTATGTACATCTTCCCTGATTTTTTTTCAGGAACAACAAATGGTGATGCCTGGCCATCGGGAATCAAATTTACAGAAAGAGCTTAACCGCTACATACCCACTGCAGCTGCTTTTGGGGGCATTTGTATCGGTGCACTGACGGTGTTGGCCGATTTCATGGGAGCAATTGGTTCAGGGACGGGGATTCTATTGGCAGTCACCATCATATATCAGTACTTCGAAACTTTTGAAAAGGAAAGAGCGAGTGAGCTTGGTTTCTTTGGTTTCTAAGCCTATGCATGCTCTGAGCAATGGTTGGTTGGGCCCAAGAGCTCCCCAAAATATTTTTGTTGAGCAGAGAGCCGCAAGTAAATCTTCCCTTTAAGACAGATATCAGATTTGAGAATGCTATGGTAGGAGGTTTCTAGCCACTGTTCTGTGCGTTAGTTCTCTCTTTCACACACGTTTAGTTGAATCTTGGCGCTAATGAGGCGATAAAGTCTTGAAATTTGTGGATGCGAGTAGTGGTGGAAATTGAAAGGTTTATTTAGTTAAGAGAAGCTGACCGTTTTCTTTTATATTTTATTTTTTGAACATTTTGTCTGTCATGTTNCTAATGAGGCGATAAAGTCTTGAAATTTGTGGATGCGAGTAGTGGTGGAAATTGAAAGGTTTATTTAGTTAAGAGAAGCTGACCGTTTTCTTTTATATTTTATTTTTTGAACATTTTGTCTGTCATGTTAAGACGTGTTCTTACTTTCATTGATGGTAGTAGTGTTAAATTCGTGATCCTAATTCAGCAACTTTATCATTTCAGCTTGAAGCTAGCAATACATGATGAGCCACTGTAGTTAAATGTAAAAATTTAACGTAAAAAAAATAAAAAAACCTATTAAGCATCATCAACACACACACACACACACTGTGTGTGTGTGTGTGTGTGGCTACACTACAAGAATGTAATTTTGACCTAGCCAGTCACATACGTATCTTGTTTTGGNTGTGTGTGTGTGTGGCTACACTACAAGAATGTAATTTTGACCTAGCCAGTCACATACGTATCTTGTTTTGGTGTGATTGTCATGACTTAAACACGGGTAATAATATTTGGCAGCTATTACAATGTATATCTAGTTGCCTCGGCCACCAAGAATTTCAAACTCGGTTTCTCTTGGTGGCGAATTTTAAAGAGAAATGTGGCGGTCAGTCACTTATTTGGACTAAAATTCATCAAGGAAATTTATTTTTTATGAAGTTTATTTTTTGTCAATTTTGTTAGACTATTCATTCTTTTTAGAATTGAAGTAAAATTAAAAAATTTTAATTTTTAAGAGTTTGACTAACATTAAAAAAAAATTTGTCTCATATTTATTTATATCCATACATAGGTTAAAACTATATCTCTTTCATATACATACACTAGTAATTGTCCGTGTCTGAAGACACAGAGTAGCAAAAAAAAATTGTGATGAATTAAAAGGCATATCAAATCAAAATAATTAATGTAACACATAAAACTAACTGTTCAACAGTACTACTACCAACAATATATTTCATATAATTATGACTATATACGTGAATATCAAACCAAAATAATTGGTTTAACACATAAAATCTCAGTAGTCAATATAAACCAACTTTTATCTTTAAAAAAAATTCGATAGAGTTCTCTTTGAAAACATAATTCAATTGACAATATCAACCTTTGTGTACAACTCATAATCAAACCTTTCTATAAATAAACATTACCTTAAATCAATAATTTTGTCACATCACGTTAATATCATTATTACCATTGTTTATCAACTGCAGCAATTTAATAATTCAAATCATCTAATACAAAATGGATACAAATTATAAACTAAACTAACACTAAACTGAGACTAATATCAATAATTAAATACATTTACTCATCCCTTAGAAGCCAAATAACCTGTAAAATTAATATTTTGTGCCTCCTGGTTAGTTGTCATGCCTAAAGGTACTTTATAATACAAAAAAAATCATTAATTAAAATCCACTAATTATTAATTAAAATTCTTAATTAATTGAGAAGATTGATTTTTAATTTGGGAAGTTTAAAATCACCTTTATCTTATTAGTATAGATGAGATAGAAAGAGAAAGAGAGTTAAATAAGAGATAAGAGTCTTAAAAAAATTTGGCATGAGGACCCTTGGATTAAAATCATCAAGAGATCTAAGCCGTGAAAGCTAAAGATAAAGAAATCTATCTACTTTATTTTATATAATATATATATATACAAAGAGAGAAAGGGAGAGAGAGAGACAGAGACAGAAAGAAAGAGGAAATGAGATAGTGTGTTTAAAACGTCTAAAAGATAAAAGAGAGAGGAGAGAGAGTTATATGAGAGATAGGAGTGTTATAGTTAAGTTTAATTATGATCGTCAGATCAATATTTATGAGATGATCTGAACCGTCTTTTATTCTGGGATTACGTTATCTGTTGTCTGTTGGATGTGTTCTTGTTTTTTTTCAAAACGATCTAAACCTCTCTTTGTCTCTAGATTCAAACTCAACTCTACTTTATTATATAGATATAATAATATTAAAAATAAAAATTAGTAACATTCAAATTAAAAAATATCATTTAAACACAACAAATAATATCATTTAAACACAAAAAAATAGTAACATTTAAACATAAAAAGATAGAAACATTCTATATTAATATTTTTAAAAAATAACAATAGTAACGTACTCAACAAAAATAGTAATATGTTCAACAAAAATAATAATATGCTCAAAAAAAAATAGCAATATAGAACATTGAACAAAATTAAAAATAAAAATAGTAGTATTCAAACTCATAAATAGAGAAAGAAACTTCCAAATCTTTAGCATATTAAAAAGTAATCCTGAAAAATAATAATATGCTCAATAAAAAATAGCAACATAAAAAAAAATAGTAACATGGTAAATAAGAAAAAATATAATAACATGAAATATTGAAAAATTTTAGGGATTATTTATTAAAAAAATTGGGGATCAAAATAATAACACATTGAGTAAGTTTTTCAACCTTTTTTTTTTTTTTCCAAAAATCAAAGACATAGAAGTTTATGATGACCAAAATGCAGTAGAAGATATGGTGGTTATTGAGTATGTTTTAAACCCTACTGATTTTGATGTTATGAAGGAAGAAATGATATTTAAAAAGAAAGATTTGTTGCACTAGAATGACGATCTTCTTGTAACGAGAGAGAAAGAGAGGGGGGGGGATAATATAAATTTCAATTTCAATTTAGGATTGAATTAAGGGATAATAATTTTTTATTTAATAAATTAATTTAAAACTGCTTTCAACGTTTTTAAGGTTTTCTATAATTGAACAAAATAACACTCTTAAGAATATTTTTGGGATTTAAAAAAATAATATACTTAATTACTTATTAGTAAGATAAAAAACGGACTTATCATCAAATAAATTTTTTTGACGGACTTAAACTATTATAACTTACAAGTCCATCAAAGAGGACTCAACTCTAATTTTTACAATTTTAAATATAATTTAAGTGATAACAAATATAAAATTTAAATTTGAACGTTCAGAATTTGAATCTTGGTAGTCTTTTAAGGTCAGGTCAAGAAGGATAAATTTCTCATGAATATTTTAATTTCAACGTGGATAACTTATTTTTAAACGGACCGAAAAAGGAATTAATTGTAGCTTAAACAGATTCGAATACAAGATCATTGAACTAAAAAAAAATTCTCTCGTGGCACGAATATCGACACTCAGTCCGTAATTGGGCACCCATACGAAGATGCTTATTTGAGATTGCATTGCATCCTATAGAGATTTTCATGCATGTATAATAACACTGATGGCTGCGTATTTTACAAAACTTTTGGATCAATCATTGTCGGTCCCCCCATGGTTGGCTTGGCTGATATGTTGTTGCCGTGTGACTTTGAGTTTCTTTCTTTTTTCTGGGCTTATTCTTTTAATCATGAAATGTCTACTATCTTTGTGCATCATCTACCATCTTTGTGTAATATCTGATATGACATAATTTCAAATTTTAAATATTTAATGAATTTAACGTAATTCACTAATTTGATGATTTATATTAAAGTGATGTATAAAGATGGTGTAAAAAAGTGTTGTGTATAGCATTATTGTTATTCTTTTATCTTCATGTGTGAACTTAAATCCACCACGACCAAACACTGGCTTTCTCCCCTTCTTTGGGTTACGGTATCAAAGTCGGAGTTATGCTTTTAAATTTTTGTATATATTAGTAATATACGTCGTGTGTTATATGTAAATAAATTTATTTACTATTATTTTTATAGAAAACATGAATTATATGTGCAATTAAATTAAATAATAACTTAGGTGTCGAATAATTAATTCATATTTTAATTTAATTATTAATTTATTCTATAAATTTTTGAGTAATTAATCAGTCTTTTATTTAGATATCTCTTCGATCCTTTTAATTATAAAGTTATTAATTTTTATTTGTTAAATAGATTATATTATTACATCTCAAAAAATAAAATATATTATATATTTGACTGTAGAATTCAACTTGGTAATTACATATTATAATAATTTAACATATATAAGATTTTACTTTTTCATATAAATATATAGATAATTGTATATAATTGTACTACTAATAAATGAGTTTAAAAGAATTTTAAAATCTTTATAAAATTGTCTAAAACAAGTTAAAATTCAGATATATGTAAAAAATAAAAAATAAATGAAAATATATAAATAGGTATAATTGACTTTATTATAATAATTAACGATAAAATAGAAAATTAAAATTTTTTCGATAACTAATACATATATATAGACAAATCGATGAATCTAATCTACTTTCAATTTTTTTTTTAAAAGGAAAATATTCTTTATGCAATTGATGAGACTTACCCCAAACGAGGAGAAAATATTCATTGCAACGGTGACATTATATCATCATTTAATTAGAAGACAATAAATACGTAATGTGGATCCCATTAATCTTATATGTTACTGATTAGATATGATAGCTACTTATAATTATAAAAATAGTGAAATTTATTTTTTTTATTTCTAATTTTTTAATTGAATAATGACGTCGTGTAATAATAATGACGTAACATTACCTTTTGAATATTTACTCCCCCAATGCGATATGAGAGAGAGGAATAAAATTTTCTTAACCACTCATAAAAACCTGCATCAATTAAATACAAAAAGAATAAAAAAGGCAATTTGCCATTTGTGCATTAAATGCATAAACGATGGATTTAGGAGTGAGAAATATAATGTGAATAATTTTGAGAAAAATATTGGTAGTCGTTAGATGAACTTATTAAAGTCTGTCATATTTTATATTATAAATATAAATAAATTTGTTACATAAAAATCAATCATATTTATTTATTAAAAAAAAAATAAAAAAAAATCATTCGTATTTAATGAATTTTTGTTGACCTGTTAATTTATTTGACATCAATTGTAAAGTTAAATTACTTATTTTGTATTAATTTTATGCTGAATTTGCAATGTAAAATTACTTTTTTTGGTGCAATAAAAAAATAAATATGCACACTCCGCTTATCCACCAAAGAGTATTATTCCTTAATACCATAGTTTTAAAACCCGGCACGGAGATCAACTCCGGAAAGGGACTTAGGTCACTGATTCAACCGTTGGGTCATTGGTCAAACCGGTCATATAATAAAAAAATAATTATAAATAGACTAAAAAATTACAATAATTATAAAAATAGCATGTTTAATATATATTAGATCAAACAAAACCTCAAAATCATCAAACACATATTCCTTTTTTTAACAGAAAAAGAGATTTTATAGATGTAATCCAAAAATTACAAGAAACAAAATATTACAAGAGTGAAACAATAAAATTCTCAAAATTACACTTGGTGGCTTTAATCCTTAAAAATGACCATAAAACATCTTCAGCATTATCAGAGTGCAAGACTTCACTCCATTCCACCTGCACCCTTTAACCCTAGTCATCATAAACCAAAGCCCTTTTAACTCTCAAAACTGGCATCCCTCTCAGGTCGTGCAAGAAGGCAAACCTAACATCACTGGGTAAACACAAAGAACCAGAAAACTCAGAAGAATTTCTTATTCTAAGTGCCTGATTAGCCATTCGCTTCCCTATAAACGTGCCTAATCTAAAAATCAACACCTCAACAAATAAAGACAAATAAGGCCATGCACAGGAGCATTTACCCAATACCACATTAACAAATATCAAAGAATTGCACTCAATTTGAAACTTATGGGATCAAACACATATTCAATCCATTCAATTTCTTATGCAACTTTGTAAAGTTAAGTATCAAAACCAACAACCCACAATAAATTAAACCCAGAATTAATTGAAATAGGCCAAAAATTATACAAATACAAATCAATTAGTTCTAAAATGTAATAGCAGACTAGCAGACAGAGAGAAAAAGAAATGTAAAACCTGATCGGCGAAGATTTGCTATAGTGCTGTGAGCCTCAGTCAAGATCTGAGTCGAAGAAGCTTTTGTCAAAGGATTGTTTCAAAAGCCTAGATTTATCAAGAAATTTGGTCCAAGTCTTGACGAAGAAGAAACCCAAAAGATCAGCACAACATATATGTTCAACAAAGGTAGAATACCAGTGGTGAGATTGAGCTTTATGACTACGAAGGTGAAGAGCATACCCAGAATAAAGCTCAGAGCACTTCGAGTCTTTGATTGTGTAGAATACCGGTTTAGACTTCGGTTCAGTGTAGTTTATCGAGTCAACCTGTCGAATCGGGTTGATTTTTAAAACACCGCTTAATACTATATAATTATCAACAATAGACTCTACCACATCACACCTGTGTCAAGATCGAAGCTAGAGATTTCAATTTGTTTTTTAAATACTAAAGAGTAGTTATAACTCCCACAAAATTGTCATATCTATATAACACCCAAACTGCTGTAACAAAAATTGAGTCGTAGTCCATTAACGCGTAGATTTTTTTTTTTCTTTCAACAGTTAAGAGTGTTTGGATTAATTTATATATATTTTAATTAAAATTTTCTTTTGATCAAATTAAATATAGATCATTCACATTAAAATTATAATATTCATAAAAAATAATTCTATGAATTCTAAAATATTACTAAAATTTAAATTCAAGAATTCGAAATTCACGGCTGACAGTTGTTTCCACTCCTCCACCTAACCTCTGGGTTTACATTGTAGATTTACAACCGACAACCGTTTAGGGCAAAACCCAGTGGTCTGTTTTTATTTCTCCAATGCCTGCCTCTGCTGTCTCCATCTCCAGTCGATAATTTTCCAGTCCCCTGGTCATTTTTGTCTTTTCCTGCACCTATCCCTCTCTCTCTTTCTCTCTCTTCCCTCCGAAGTCTGATTTTTTTGTTTCTCTCTCTTGAAAACTCTCCTTCCTCAGTCAAGCTCTGATTTTTCTTCCCCACATAAACACCAGAACCCATCAACTACCTGCTCTCACCACCCACCATTGCCAAACTAAAACCAACTTTCCTGTTCCAAACAAACCCATTAAGACCCGTTGTATTTCTTTCGATAAAAACCACGAATAATTATGGCCAAGGTCAAATTGAAGATTTTTCTATTTTGAATGCCAGCAGCTTTCTGATGAATGATATATAACGAAACAAGAAATTTCTTCTTAAGTTATGTTCTGGATCAGCATCATTCTCTGTAAACCCCCTATAGATATAGACCATGTGTCGATTTTCATTTGTTTATTGTTAATTTGACATTTTATTCCATTATTATTGGACTCGATTTTTAATTTTAATTTTATATCTCTTATCGGAGGTTTGGCAGAAAGCATCTTATATTGGTTTTGATATGATGATCTTTCAGGGGTTTTGGGTTCTCTAGACATTGAGTTTTGGTGTTCGGCTCTGCAGGTTCTTCTCAAAAGTCTTTGACTTGAAATTTTGTTTGAGGTGTTTCTTCTTTTTGTGGTAAGGTTTGTCTAAACACGACTGCAGATTCTTCATAGCTTATATGTGCATGTGTGTACATCTCTCTCTCTCTCTCTCTCTGTGTATGTGTGTGTGTGTGTGTGTGTGTGTGTGTATGTGAAGCTTTCTTTGTTATTTTGGTTCAGAGGTCGCCATTAGAGTCTGCTTATAGTGTTATGTTCTTGTGATATTTTCTGAGCGACGAAGACAAACTGAGTCGCACTTTTCTCGAGGTGTTCTTGGAAGGTAACGGTAATATTTTCAAGGTCTAGTCGACGGCGATGATTGCTTTGTTGTGTGATAGTGTAATATATGATTCTACACCCGCATGTAGAGGATCATAGTAATCGTTCACTATTCGTGTGTTTCCTATATGGAGTACGGATTCGCCTGCGGGCAACCTCATGTCATTTGTGGCGAACACTAGTGAAAACAGGTGTCACGTGAACTGCACGTGGTTGGGTATGTAGAGACGTGCCTAATCACGTGGGGTTTTCGGGGAGGTGTGGGGTTCACTTACTATTTTGTTCTTTAAAGCCGGGTCCACTTACCGTTAGAGTTACTCTTGTTTGGGAGTGTTTATGGCCGTTCTTTTTGCGGGCCATGTTCGTATCTGTCGGATGTGAAGCCTAACGTTCATGAAAAATCAGAATTGTGATAAATGTTTGTCTAATGCACTCATGAGCGCCCAGTGATTTTTTGCAGTAGGCCACATTAGGTTGATGTAAGATCAAATAGGATGTTTTGCTAGCAGTAAAAAACAAGACAACATTGGTGTATATGTTGTTGTAAACCGATTTTTAAGGTAAATTCTATTTATATGTTTATAATAATTGGTATTAAAATTAATCATCAAGTCAAATATGTCATCGAAATGGAAGATTTTTTAAGATTTCTTTTGGGTTGGGGGGTGTCCAATGAAAATTATAAAGTATTAAACTTCACCTCCACCTCCACCTCCACCAATCTTTCTAGACTGTGGTGGCATGATATAAATTTGGAATGTCATTAATCTTTCATAAATTATGTGTGTTGGATCAATCGTGGTGTTTCGTGTGAGTCTCATTATACAATAATCTCGAGGGAGTACCTTGGTTATCTTTGATATTCGTTTGCTTGTGTAGACTTGTGTTAAATAGAATTTGCGATTGTAATACACAATTTAGGTTGAACATGTGATATAACTACACTTATAACTGTGATTTTAATATTTCTTAGAGTCAACCGGCAGTAATAATAAATTGTCTAGATGTTTTTTTACATATCAGAAGTTTTCTTAAGTTGGTATTTACCACCACACCCACTTGGCCATTTTATTACACCGGCTTTGGCATATCATGATTCATTAGGTCCTTGTTTATGATCAAATTGACAAGTTTAATGGAGGAGTATAGTAGAAAGAAAACACGTTCATCGTCTCTGTGATTATTTAAGTGCCTCCTTAGGTCTATCAAAGGGCACCCATTTATTTGTTTTTTTTTTTTCATACTGATATGGCTTCCCAAGTTAGTTAGCACGGAGCTGTTATGTTTCTTGTGGTCAAACCATTGTATATGGAGTAGAATATTTTAGCACAATAGAAGAAATCATACTTTTCACAAGTTGTTAACCCCCCCCCCCCCCAGTTACATTCTCCCCCTGATTTCCAATGTGCATTATACTCTTGCTGCAATGCATCCATATTTTGAACGTGCCATCGTATCCAATATTCTTCACCTTCTCTCCCTGATCTTTTTATCTCTCCTGTTCTGTTCTCTCGATTAAAATCTGCTTTTTTGACCTTCCAAAGAAAAGCAAATCAGCAACTTTCAAAGGTAGAGCAAAAACAGATCCTATCTACCTTAAGTGTCCTCGATCCAAGAGTTAAAGCATACTGCTTTTCTCTTTTGTTGAAACATGCTCATCATTGTCATCATAGCATAATATTCTTTTTCTTCTTTTAACTATTGTTGTTTCATTATCTGAAGTACTCAGTCCCATTTGTGCAATCCTAATTGTAATATTTTCTCTATCATCACTTTCTGATCTTTTGTTTCAGATGGATTCAGTTAAACAACCTGCGGTGACCCCAAGTAAGAGCAGATTGGCCCGCACTTTTGCTAAGGTTTTGCACATTCGGGCTGTAACAGGTGTTGCTCCAGTCGATGGAATTCAGAAAACCAAGTCCCATGAAAATGCCAAACATGATGCCATAGACAGAGATGAAAAGCTTCGGACCAGACCAGCCACTGATCCCAAGCATCGTTCAAGCTTTGGGTCTCTGTTGTTGGACAACGAAGATGAAAAGCTTTGGATCAGAGCAGCCATTGATGGAATTCAGAAAACCAAGTCCCATGACAAAGTCAAGCATTATGACATGGACAAAGTGGAAAAGCTTCGGATCAGAGCAGCCACTGAAGCTTTTCTTGCAAAACTGTTTGCCAGCATTTCTTCTGTTAAAGCTGCATATGCCCAGTTACAGTTTGCTCAGTCTCCGTATGATGCAGAAGGGATTCAATCTGCTGATCAGTTGGTAGTTTCGGAGTTAAAAAAATTGTCTGAATTGAAGCATTGTTACTTGAAGAAACAGTTTGATGCTGCTTCTCCTGAAACTGCCCTATTGTCTGCTGAACTTCAGGAGCATAAGAGTCTTTTGAACACCTATGAAATTATGGCAAAAAAGTTGGACTCTCAGCTTAAGCTCAAAGACTCGGAAATCACCTTTCTTAGAGAGAAATTGGAGGAGGACAAGAGAGAGAAAAAGATGCTTGAAAAGAGATTGAATTCAAGTGGGCCATTATCCATTCATGACAATCTTCATTTATCAGGCTTGAGCCCCAGCCATTTCATTACAGTTCTTAGGCAGACAATTAAATCAATTAGGAGCTTTGTTCGGTTGATGATCAGTGAGATGGAATCTGCAGGGTGGGATTTAGATGAAGCAGCCGATTCAATTGAATCGGATGTCATGTACTGGAAGGCGAACCACAAATGTTTCGCATTTGAGTCCTTTGTTAACCGAGAGATGTTTGATGGTTTCAACTACCCGAACTTCTCTCCTCCAAATGAGACTTTGCTGGAGCGAAAAACACAGCAGCGTCTATTCTTTGACAGATTCATGGAATTGAAATCCATGAAACCAGAGGAATATCTTGCCTGGAAGCCTAAATCAACCTTTGCGAAATTTTGTCGCTCCAAGTACTTGAGACTTGTTCATCCGAAGATGGAATCATCGCTTTTAGGCAATACGAATCAGAGAAAGTTGGTGAGTTCTAGTGAATATCCTGAAACAACCTTCTTTGTCACATTTGCTGAAATGGCGAAGCGGGTTTGGCTCCTGCACTGTCTGGCCTTCTCTTTCGAACCTGAAGCCTCAATCTTTCAAATGAGGAAAAGGAGTCGATTCTCTGAAGTGTACATGGAGACCGTGAACGAAGAAGCATTCTTATCATCTAATGGCACACCGGAAAGTGAAACTCGTGTGGCTTTCACAGTGGTTCCGGGGTTCAAGGTTGGCAAAACTGTTATACAGTGTCAGGTATATCTATGTTGATCTTAAACTTGGATTGATCATTGATTTGTTGTATGCAAAGATCCAAATAGTCGCCTGAATTTATGCCCACGGCATGAAAGGATTGAACTGGAGGCCACTGGCTTGATTGATATTCTGAGTAAAATCGTAGAGATATGGGTGCCATCAGCCATGGTGAGTGGTTGCTGAGTGTGGGCTTTTTGTCTCGTGTTGATTTGAAAAGGAAAGTGGGTAGACAGTAGTGTGGGAACAACCTTTGAAAATTCATAGAATCCTAGGGGGTATTGTTAGCTGTATATTATACGATTCCTCTATACCAAAAAGGTGTTTCTCTGTGCCATTATATATCAACAGATGGAGATTTTTTACTTTTGTGCATACCTAGCTGCTTTTTGGATCATTTGCTTAGTTATTGTGACATTTTTTTTTTGGGGGGGTTGGTTAGTTATTGTGACTAGGTGGTTGTGTTGGGGCCTAGTGTGTGACCGACCCTTTTTCAAGTTTTAGAGGTGAATCCTCAGAAGGACTCCAATCTCTGGGAAAGTCCCCAATAGCAACTGTGTCAATCTTTGTTGGCTAGCTTGGTTGGTGGATGGGTCAATTTTTTTTTTTCTTTACAAATCTCTTCCTTAGAGTGCCATGTAACCATACCTTTTCTGAATGGTATATTTTGAAGAGCGAATCACATAAATAAGATTGATCTATACATACTCATTTCAGGTGCACACATGTTGGAGATGGTTATTATCAAATAGATAGAAACCAAAAATAGACAAAGCTTTCACTCATTAAGAATTGAAAACACGTAACTAGATCGTTATGAAGATGGATGCGACTGAAATAGGTGGCATTTGAAAACGTAGCTTAACATTTAGGGTCCGTTTGGTAATAGTTTGGTTTTAATTTTTTCGTTTTTGTTTTCAATTTTTTAGAAAACCTGATATTTAAACTCGTTTGGTAACCGTTTTAATTTTTTTTCTAACTAAAACCGTTTTCAAAATTGCCTCAAATTTGGAAACGAAAAAAAGTCGTTTCCAAAAAAATAAAAATAAAAACGGAAACGGGCGGACGACATTTAATGAGATCCTACCATCGAGTCTTATTAGCAACAAATTAAGCCTCTACCAAAAAACCATGCTCCTCCTTCGGTGAGATCCACCTACACTTTCTTCCCCTTCTGCAGATCGAGTAGGTAGAAAAATATATCTTTAAAACAAAAAACAAAAAAATAAATGATTCTATCATCTCTTCCATAACTGTGTGTACCTACATTGAAAGTGGTAGTTCAAGAAGAAGCATGTGATTGAGAAATTCTTTTGCAGATCTTTGTCACTGGGAGAGGATGGGCTTGTTTAATGGGACTGTTATCATCTGGTGAGCTCCAATCTGTTCCTGTGACAGATTTGGTATGTTGATCATCCATGGTAGATGACACAATAAATTTCATAGTTGTGGTATTAATGTGAGGGTCGGATTGAGCCAGGTCTGTTACATCATTGAGATACTTCGAATAAATCAAACTACATACTTCGAATAAATCAAACTACATATAAGATCTGTCGGTGCTAAAACCTTGAGAAAGATATCATTACTCTATCAAAGGCTAAGGGACCTCCATATGGCAAAGTCAGATTGGCCATGGCCCGATGAATCACCAGGCTTCCGGGTCATTGCTTTAACGGTAGGGGTCATATTTTTGGTAGCAAAACATGTTGACTTGAATGATTGGCCATGCAAATCTCTTGTTCTTGGTTGTTTGATGTCGTATCATCCTTTTTTTTTTGTTCAACAATAGGAGTGTCCGATTTAGCTTATAAACATTTTGATTAATTTTTTTTTCGATCTGATCCGGTCCGATCAAAGACATGTTATATATGCTTAAATTAGTTTTGTGGCCTGACCTAAGTGGTTATAAAGATTTAAAAGTCAAAACGCTTGGGTTTAGAATTCTTTTTTTTTTTTTTAAAGAAGCTTGGAGAGTAACAAAACAATGGCCTAAAGGGTCNATTTATGCCCACGGCATGAAAGGATTGAACTGGAGGCCACTGGCTTGATTGATATTCTGAGTAAAATCGTAGAGATATGGGTGCCATCAGCCATGGTGAGTGGTTGCTNATCAAAGGCTAAGGGACCTCCATATGGCAAAGTCAGATTGGCCATGGCCCGATGAATCACCAGGCTTCCGGGTCATTGCTTTAACGGTAGGGGTCATATTTTTGGTAGCAAAACATGTTGACTTGAATGATTGGCCATGCAAATCTCTTGTTCTTGGTTGTTTGATGTCGTATCATCCTTTTTTTTTTGTTCAACAATAGGAGTGTCCGATTTAGCTTATAAACATTTTGATTAATTTTTTTTTCGATCTGATCCGGTCCGATCAAAGACATGTTATATATGCTTAAATTAGTTTTGTGGCCTGACCTAAGTGGTTATAAAGATTTAAAAGTCAAAACGCTTGGGTTTAGAATTCTTTTTTTTTTTTTTAAAGAAGCTTGGAGAGTAACAAAACAATGGCCTAAAGGGTCATTTTGGCATGGTTAGGTGCGTATCTCAATCACACACAACGTGTATCCAAATACTGAATACATCGTGCTAAGCTTAGTTGATCCTAAGAATAATGTTATTAAATATCAAGCGCTAGAAATATGGGTTTACTTGGTCAAAATAGGCTTCCGTTCAACAGGTCTTTGGTTCAATGGTACTCCTTATCTTGTGAAGATTTAGCATTTTTTAGGTCAAGGGTTCAAGCTCCCTCCCCTCCCCTCTCCCTCTCCCTCTCCCAAAAAATATAAAAAAAAATAAAAAATAGAGAGGCTTCCATGAAGGCTTGTTCGAGTCTTATCTGTGTAATAAACAAACAAAGTTTGAACATAATTTTAAGCTTGTAAAGCTAATTCACATTAAAAAAAATGTCAAAAATCAAGTCAATTGAATTCAGCATTACAAAAGTTTGATTCAACTCGTTTCCAATCAAAATTGGACAATATTTAAGCTTGGGATCGAATATCTCAGTAAAAATGGGATTGTCGGGTCTTAAATGTTCGATAGAGTATCCCGGGCAGCCCAAAACTCGAGCTCGGTGCCATCTCACTTACAACGTGAGTTAATCGAACAAAAAATTGATACAAAGTTATTGAATATAAAATTTATATTATTAATTTTGGATTGTAACTAAATCGATTGATTAGACTTTTCTAAAAAATGGATCAACATGAGTTTAACTATATACGATTTTACGTGACTTGTATACGACATGAATATGTTTATGATTTAAACTTGACTATATCCTATTGTAAATGTGTTGAGTATGAATTTGAGATATTTTAGACTCGAGACGGATAAGACACATTTAGTACACAAGTAGCACAGCNGATCAACATGAGTTTAACTATATACGATTTTACGTGACTTGTATACGACATGAATATGTTTATGATTTAAACTTGACTATATTTAATTGTAAATGTGTTGAGTATGAATTTGAGATATTTTAAACTCGAGACGGATAAGACCCATTACGTACGCAAGTAGCACAGTNATACGACATGAATATGTTTATGATTTAAACTTGACTATATCCTATTGTAAATGTGTTGAGTATGAATTTGAGATATTTTAGACTCGAGACGGATAAGACACATTTAGTACACAAGTAGCACAGCCTTGTTTAAATCTAACAAAAATTACAGCTACGCTCAAATCACTATAACTTGATCCTGGTTAAAGGACAATTAAAATTAGAGGCGGTAAATAGGTGAGCTGGGTTGGTTATGAGTTACGGTAAATTGAGTTGGGTTTAAAATAAATCTAATATATTTTTTAACGGGTTGGTTTATAATGGGTTAGGTTAAACTTAAACCAATTAATCCATAAAAAAATTAAAACTTTTAATAGGCATATACTATTATACCAAGATAAACACATACTGTTACACCAAAATACGCACACATATATACCAAAATACACACTATGACACTAAAATAAACACATACACTTACACCAAAATATACACACTATTACACTAAAATACACACACTATGACACTACAAAAGATTAGGATTTAGTTTTGAATTAACCAAAAAACATACCAATAAAATCCAATTAACTGAATTTAAATTAAAACCAAATTCGATCCATTGACATGGCTAAGTGGCACCACCGGTGTCTGAAGGGTTAGCAAACAACAAGATTTTTACTCATTTGCACCGGAAAATATTCAAGATAATGGTGACGTCACGTAGGGTTGATAATCGAGTTAAACTACTCGAGTTCAGTTTGAATTCGACTCGTGCAGGGTTTCATTTGAGCTGGCTTCATTCGTTTAGAAAAATGAGCCTACAAAGTTTAACTCGAACTCGCAAAATTCTAGTTGTTTATATACAAAATAATTAAATTGTTCAAGTTCAGCTCGTTTTTAACTTGATTCGGAGCTTGAACAATTTTTTTGACTCGTTTAAAAAACGAGATCGGAGCTCGCAAAACTCAATTCGATTATCAATCCTAACTTCCCGTTATTAACTAACATATAAGATTAGTGAATTCTATTAAATTTTATAAATATTAATAATTTTTACATGTATTTATTAAATAATTTATGACATTTACATTGAATATTTTCCAGTCCCGTTAGAACATCGACCAGATTGTACTAAGATTTGCCAACAAAACACAAATCAAACTAAAATTTAATAGAATATTGATGGTAGTTAAACAACTCTTATTTACTTAGGGTAACGTTTTCGTTTTAATGTTTTTTTTTATATATATAAAATAAAACTAATTTTTGTTTTATTTTTGATAAAAAATAAAAATATAAAACATATTTGATAGTTATTTATATTTAAAAATTTATAAAAAAAATAAACAATATATTTGGTGTTATACCAAAAATTCACCACCCAACCACCAACCACCAACCACCACCACCACCGAAACCCACCCCCACAACCCTGCCCCTAAAATTCACCAACACCCAACACCGAAATCCACCCCCACAAACTCCATTGTGAAACCCATTGCCCACCCCCAAAATACACCACCACCCAACCCCCACAATGCCACAATCCTCTATAACCCTAAAACCCACCCCCATCCTCGAAACCTACCACCACTGAAACCAAGCAAAACCCATCACCCAGCCACCCAATACCAAACCAAGCAAAACTCACCACCACCAAAACCCCACCGATACATCACTCGCTACCAAAACCCGCCATCACCTAGCCACCAAACACCTAACCAAGCAAAACCTACCACCACCAACCACTAAAACATCACCTATCACCACCAAAATTCACCAAAAGTCCAACTTCGGAGTCTTCGCAAAGAAGACAAGAGTGAGAGAAGATGAGAGGCAACTCTTCAAAGAAAGACACAGACGAAAGAGAGAAGATGAGAGAGAGAGAGAGAGAAAGAAAAGTTGGGTGAGCAGTAAGTAAATAGTTTGAAGAGAAAACTGCCCTTTTATACTTTCGACCAAAAGTCCTAAATTTTAATGTTAACAAGATTCAAAGGTAAGACTTCATTAAAGGGTGGACTACACATGTTTTTTTTTTTTTTTTTTTGATGTTTTCAAAAACATCCATCTAGATGTTTCTCTATTTTGACATTGTTTTCAAAACGGAATAGTAAAAAAAAAACAAAAACATCATGTTACCAAATGACACCTTAATTTTTAAAAGAATATTCTTAAAATATCAAAACAATTGTGATATGTATTATTTACATTTTGATTTTTAGGCAAAATAAAAGATAAAAATGAAAAACAAATAAAAGGATTACCAAATAATAATACCCAACTCAATTATAATCTATATTAATAAAAATAGGTATCTAACCCATATATTCATGAGCGAATTAAATAGATCGGTGGGTTATGAGTTACAATTGCCAGTTTGGNACTTTTAATAGGCATATACTATTATACCAAGATAAACACATACTGTTACACCAAAATACGCACACATATATACCAAAATACACACTATGACACTAAAATAAACACATACACTTACACCAAAATATACACACTATTACACTAAAATACACACACTATGACACTACAAAAGATTAGGATTTAGTTTTGAATTAACCAAAAAACATACCAATAAAATCCAATTAACTGAATTTAAATTAAAACCAAATTCGATCCATTGACATGGCTAAGTGGCACCACCGGTGTCTGAAGGGTTAGCAAACAACAAGATTTTTACTCATTTGCACCGGAAAATATTCAAAATAATAGTGACGTCACGTAGGGTTGATAATCGAGTTAAACTACTCGAGTTCAGTTTGAATTCGACTCGTGCAGGGTTTCATTTGAGCTGGCTTCATTCGTTTAGAAAAATGAGCCTACAAAGTTTAACTCGAACTCGCAAAATTCTAGTTGTTTATATACAAAATAATTAAATTGTTCAAGTTCAGCTCGTTTTTAACTTGATTCGGAGCTTGAACAATTTTTTTGACTCGTTTAAAAAACGAGATCGGAGCTCGCAAAACTCAATTCGATTATCAATCCTAACTTCCCGTTATTAACTAACATATAAGATTAGTGAATTCTATTAAATTTTATAAATATTAATAATTTTTACATGTATTTATTAAATAATTTATGACATTTACATTGAATATTTTCCAGTCCCGTTAGAACATCGACCAGATTGTACTAAGATTTGCCAACAAAACACAAATCAAACTAAAATTTAATAGAATATTGATGGTAGTTAAACAACTCTTATTTACTTAGGGTAACGTTTTCGTTTTAATGTTTTTTTTTATATATATAAAATAAAACTAATTTTTGTTTTATTTTTGATAAAAAATAAAAATATAAAACATATTTGATAGTTATTTATATTTAAAAATTTATAAAAAAAATAAACAATATATTTGGTGTTATACCAAAAATTCACCACCCAACCACCAACCACCACCACCACCGAAACCCACCCCCACAACCCTGCCCCTAAAATTCACCAACACCCAACACCGGAATCCACCCCCACAAACTCCATTGTGAAACCCATTGCCCACCCCCAAAATACACCACCACCCAACCCCCACAATGCCACAATCCTCTATAACCCTAAAACCCACCCCCATCCTTGAAACCTACCACCACTGAAACCAAGCAAAACCCATCACCCAGCCACCCAATACCAAACCAAGCAAAACTCACCACCACCAAAACCCCACCGATACATCACTCGCTACCAAAACCCGCCATCACCTAGCCACCAAACACCTAACCAAGCAAAACCTACCACCACCAACCACTAAAACATCACCTATCACCACCAAAATTCACCAAAAGTCCAACTTCGGAGTCTTCGCAAAGAAGACAAGAGTGAGAGAAGATGAGAGGCAACTCTTCAAAGAAAGACACAGACGAAAGAGAGAAGATGAGAGAGAGAGAGAGAGAAAGAAAAGTTGGGTGAGCAGTAAGTAAATAGTTTGAAGAGAAAACTGCCCTTTTATACTTTCGACCAAAAGTCCTAAATTTTAATGTTAACAAGATTCAAAGGTAAGACTTCATTAAAGGGTGGACTACACATGTTTTTTTTTTTTTTGTTTTGATGTTTTCAAAAACATCCATCTAGATGTTTCTCTATTTTGACATTGTTTTCAAAACGGAATAGTAAAAAAAAAAAACAAAAACATCATGTTACCAAATGACACCTTAATTTTTAAAAGAATATTCTTAAAATATCAAAACAATTGTGATATGTATTATTTACATTTTGATTTTTAGGCAAAATAAAAGATAAAAATGAAAAACAAATAAAAGGATTACCAAATAATAATACCCAACTCAATTATAATCTATATTAATAAAAATAGGTATCTAACCCATATATTCATGAGCGAATTAAATAGATCGGTGGGTTATGAGTTACAATTGCCAGTTTGGCACCCCTAATTAAAACCAAACATTTCTTTTGCTAAAATAATTACAGGGGAAAACCCAAATTGTATGAATTGTTCTTCTTTTGTTAGATTATTTAAATGATTTAGTTAATCATTATGTGGTAGATTAGAGTGGAAAATGCATAACAAACACAATTTTATCACAACATCAAAAGACGATGATGTGACTGTTGTATTATTATTATTATAAATAATATTACATTAGGGATTCTTTGTATTGGTATATGAATAAACTAGTAGACCATATCAAACTGTACAGAATCTTATGTGAGGTATTACCCTCCTAGAAAAAGTCCAAAATTCAACTTTAGATAGGTTCATGCAATATGAAATAAACTATCTTGCTGGTGGTGGTTGGAAAATGCATAATCTATTTGAATAATTTTTTTATATAAAAAACTATTTTCCAACCTGCCCGGTCAAACCATGGTTACTAGCTCTCTAATGCTAACCATTGAGTTCAATTAATTACTAAAAAACGATATCAAGTGGTCGAATTTGGAACGAAGACAATATTCATTCGTAATTTCTATATGCGAGATATACCCTCCTAGAGAAGTCCAAAATTCAATTTTACATAGGTTCATGCAATAGGAAATAAAATAACATCTTGCCGGTGGTTGCAAAATANTGACACAAGTTTGCTTAATGGAATATAGTTTATATACACCTTTCGTATACCCATGAGATTCAGGAAGACAGGACAAGGGAAGGAGACAAAAGTAGGCATGGATAAGTCAATTATTATTATAAAGTTGATGGTGTATTAAGTTATTCTGCACTTTGCATGCCAAAATAAACAATGCACCAAAACCCAAACAGAGATATAGTTGACATTTTCATTATATATTAGTGAAAGGTTAGCAAGTAAAAAAATAAAAAATAAAAAATTACAGAAGACTTATTTCGAGAAAGTGAAGATTAAAATGACTAACAGGCTTAGTAAAGTTTTTTAAAGAGTAATGTTAGATAGACTTAAATAGNTCCAAAAAAAAAAAAAAAAAAAAATCTGACCCACCCAATCAAACCATGGTTACTAGCTCGCTAAGGTTAACCATATTGGACATAAAGCCATAACAACTACTAATCCATATAAGCGATGTGTAACGACAGGTTTGAGTCCAAAAATCATTCTCTCATACGCTGCTATGACAACAATACAACAATTTTTCAACTCTTTGTGTAGTTAATGAAACTCGGATTTTCTTTCTTAGTATCAAGAAATGGTAGGAGAAAGTATACAATCTATACATTTTTTCCGTATACACCAAACCAATCATAAACAAAACCCTCCGGAAAACATAAAACAACAAAAGTTTTTCTGAATCAAGTAGAATATATCGTGTATATAATAACTTAAAACCAAAAAAACCCATGAAAGTTGAGTGGAGCAAATGCAGCAGTATATGAGTTTAATGGCCAACTCCAGGACTTGGGACCGATTGCAAAACGCGATCCATTTGCCTTTCATCACTGGCGACTGCATGTACTTTACCACTCAGGGAGGAAAGTGGAGTAGTGCCCTTTGGAAGGGGACTTAGGACTCGATTTCCATCGAGAGTAGGAACTTCCTCTGTCTGAATGCTCAAGAGCTTCCTTGCTTCTAAAGATGGTGCATAGCAAACTACAAGAAGAATCAAAACACATGAAAGCAATCTTAAGGGAGCCATGTAGAATGCTGAGAGAGCTAGCTAGGAAACAGGGACTGAAGCTTGAGATTTGAGGGGCGATGTCAAAAACGGACTAGAAATGGACTAGAAATGGAATAGACTCTTGGATGGGAAGAATTGGAGAGTGATATGCTTATATAGATGGGGTGGAGGGAGAGAGAGGGTCAAATAGTTGGTTAAGTCAAGAAGTCTGCAAATGAGGGAGGAATATTTTNGTAATGTTAGATAGACTTAAATAGTAGACTTAAAAATTAGACTTGATAATCTCAATCATTGAATAGATAGTGGATCCTAATAAATGTTGAGATCTACACAGATAGTTATGTAATGTGAAAAATGTTAATTTGTCTGATAAATATTAATCGCAATGGAGTAAATATCATGGATTTTTTCCAGTCGAAAAGTGATGTTTTCAAACCATNAACAGGGACTGAAGCTTGAGATTTGAGGGGCGATGTCAAAAACGGACTAGAAATGGAATAGACTCTTGGATGGGAAGAATTGGAGAGTGATATGCTTATATAGATGGGGCGGAGGGAGAGAGAGGGTCAAATAGTTGGTTAAGTCAAGAAGTCTGCAAATGAGGAAGGAATATTTANTGGAGAGTGATATGCTTATATAGATGGGGTGGAGGGAGAGAGAGGGTCAAATAGTTGGTTAAGTCAAGAAGTCTGCAAATGAGGGAGGAATATTTTGCTTGTATCTTACAAGTGTCTCTAAAAATGCCTTGGTGTAAGTTGGGTAGGTACATATGAACTAAGCCGTCTGGCCTGTTTTTCTTGACAGTTTCTGATAGATTCCTAACTCTTTCAGCTCCAATTTTATTGGCATGTGTTAACTCAACTTGGCTGACTGTGATAGAAGAGGGTCTTCATTGAAAAAGGTTCACTAAACTTGGCTGCAACTGATTAAAAAACAAAGGGCCTGCAGTGCAGGAGAGCACCTTTCATCTACAGTCAGTATGCTAGTGTGCACGCTATGTCCTGGACTTGCTAGTGTTAGTGACAATTTAACTCCTGAATTTCTACCACTAAATGAGGGAAGATCGGATTTTGTGGGGCGGTGAGATCCTCGAATGCATTTTTTCTTAATTTATCTCCTTAAGTGAAACCCATTATATATATGTTGGTCCTCACCANATTTCTACCACTAAATGAGGGAAGATCGGATTTTGTGGGGCGGTGAGATCCTCGAATGCATTTTTTCTTAATTTATCTCCTTAAGTGAAACCCATTAGATATATGTTGGTCCTCCCCGATACACAGTTTATCATTCATTGAGAGAAATTGAGAAACTGTGCTAGAGTATATCTAAATCAAGAGTTTATGGAGACACTGTGGTAATTTGGGAACAGAGAACTTGTGGAAAAAGCACTATCATATGCTTATCAAGACTTTTTTCTTATAATAAGTAGCACGGATTTGTTCGTTCAGAGAATCTCAACCAAAACACATATTTGCACAAAACTACAACTTTTGCCTCTTTAAATAAATTCAAGCGTGTATGAGTATACAAAAGTTGTAAAAACAAAGAGAAGCTGCCGGTGAATAGCACAAACTTTTGTTTTTGAGCAAGTGAAAACTACAAAGAGTTGACACAAGTTTGCTTAATGGAATATAGTTTATATACACCTTTCGTATACCCATGAGATTCAGGAAGACAGGACAAGGGAAGGAGACAAAAGTAGGCATGGATAAGTCAATTATTATTATAAAGTTGATGGTGCATTAAGTTATTCTGCACTTTGCATGCCAAAATAAACAATGCACCAAAACCCAAACAGAGATATGGTTGACATTTTCATTATATATTAGTGAAAGGTTAGCAAGTAAAAAAATAAAAAATAAAAAATTACAGAAGACTTATTGCGAGAAAGTGAAGATTAAAATGACTAACAGGCTTAGTAAAGTTTTTTAAAGAGTTATGTTAGATAGACTTAAAAATTAGACTTGATAATCTCAACCATTGAATAGATAGTGGATCCTAATAAATGTTGAGATCTACACAGATAGTTATGTAATGTGAAGAATGTTAATTTGTCTGATAAATATTAATCGCAATGGAGTAAATATCATTGATTTTTTCCAGTCGAAAAGTGATGTTTTCAAACCATCCCCCCTGTTATCTTTCTCTATACATTGGTCTATATTTCTGTCAACTACAATTTCACAAAAAGACCACCCCCCCCCCCCCCCCCCCCCCCCCC